GGGGCATCTTGTACATGAGGGCGTCTTATTGACGGAAAAATACGGTAACTGAACCCAATATCATTAATACAAGATTAATGTGACAATCACAAAAACAGTGGTCTTTGAAGACACTCTACCACCAGAGTAAGGCCTCTCAAATCATTTACTCTAATAAGAACTTTGTTCCATTGTTTCAAGTCTAACAAATCAGTGTTGCGTTCATTTCTATGGGATTGAGCATTTCTTACAATGCTAAAAGTTTTGCTGAGTGGGAGGGGAATGGGTTGATATATAAAATCTCTGTTAAACTGTTTTGTCTCATTCTGTGAATAGCCTTCTACAACTCCACTAACTCCTAAGAATATGCGTCCAACAACTCAAGAAACATTTTTCAAGACACCTGGCAGCCTAGAAGATCCTCTTATATGGCGGAAAAATGAAGGCAACCAGAGCAGAACATCAAGTTCTGTTCAAAGAAGATTAGAAATCTCCAGCAAAAGCTCTGACTGATCCATCCCATTACTGCAATATGGGTAGCTTAGAAAAGTCTTCTGCTTATTACAGAAAAAACAATTATTGCATTAAAAAAAGAAAAAATGTTTTAAAATATTGTTCCATAGGCACATTTGCCCACTGTGCATTGCCCATTATTGTTAACTTTCTCCCTCATGAATCACCCTACTTGTATAAATATCAATTTTGATTAGAATTCTAATTATGCAGATGCAGATATAAGGAAGCATCAAATTCTATTCCAGGGCTGAAAAAATAAAATGTATCAGTGATATGAGCGAGTTTAACTGTGATCCAAAGTCTAAAACTTGGGGAGCGGGGCTGGCTAGCACTTAAATAGTGGGAACACTCTTTACAAGGGCTCTATTTATCCTGTGGGGGGGGGGGTGACTGGACAGGCAGCAAGAACAGTAGTGTAGTCTGCTGAGTCTGATTTAGTCAAAAACATTTGCAACTTCAAAGCAGACTTTTGCAGAGTACTTGAATGCGACTGACGGATGTACAATTTTTCCTGCACTTGTTAAGAAAAAAATCTAATAATCTACAGTAATGAACGAATGTACTCACAGGAAATACTTTAAGGCCAAAATGACTGTGAACTTATTTTTGTATTAATGAACTTTGTAGTTTCTGTTGTCTTTTTTTCTGCACAAAATGTTCAAGTTCGTTAGTTGTCACAAAAGCTTGTTCCTAAAACTGTAGAGGCTAACAGGTTGTTTCAAGAATCATCAGCCTCTAAAATGTTTACTTCAAAATGTAGCTCATCCCTAATTTAAATATGAGTGAGCTACAATCCTTGAGCCAGACTTCTTTTACAGCATTACACAGAGCTCATCTTATCTGCAATTCTGCCAAAGGAACTGAAAGAATTATCTTTGACTGATGTGACTGTATTGTGTAGTTGTATGACTTCCACAATTAATATGCCTAATGTTCATTAAGAAACACTTTAAGCACAGTATTTATGGCATGAGTGACATTGAGGTCAGAAGGAACATATGATGTAGGAGATGGAAGACCTGCAACCTAATATGAGTTAAATTAATCAATGCACCATTTTTTTTAATTAACAGAAGAACAGGAGAAATAGAGAATACGTCTTAACTGGTAGTCCACAAGTTTAGGATATTGACACTTGAGGGCAGTTCATATTCACAAAGTAATTACTATAGTGTTAAAAAACGTAATAGATTAAAATACCTTAATGGGACAGATACTGGATTTTAAAAATTATCATGTTACTTTGAGTTTATAATCAAGTAAATGGCTTTTTTTAACCTAGAATGACTTTGAATTCATGATGTATGTTTCTTATGGTCAGACACATTTTCTGATATATCATTTCATTAAGTTTTAGGAAGAATTATGGCTTTAGTATGTTTAATTTTGAATAATGGAATATATTACCAAAATAAGGTTAAAGATGAACAGTTTTAGTGGAGCTGAAATTGAGAACATAATTTCCTTGTAAGAACCTTACAAGGAGGGTATTTGATAAGACTTACATTTCTTAAATCTCAGCAGTAAAATTGTATTGGGAGATTTACTGTTAATTTAAAAAATACTTTACACTACAGAATTTGCAGGTTTATGTGCCTTTATCCTAGTACATATGTGTGCATTCAAGTGTGGCCCAATGGAATGAAGTTTTCTGCTTGCAGCAAGAACTGCAGCAAGGAGCAACTTGCGTTTCTGTTCATCAGCTTGTCAAGTCAATACCACTGTAGGCTCAGAGCAGACTATTGCTATTAGCAGACAGACCATGCAATGTGCCTGTTCCTTATCAGTCTCTCACCACCTTGTTTCAGTGTAGGGAAAGACGAAGACTGGTTTAAAGCTCTCAAATATAAAAGACAATGTGTTTTATTTTGTTTTATAATTGACTATCCTTTCATGTTCCCTGCTTCTTGGGCAAGTTGGCTATGTTGGTTTCATAGGACAAGGAAACTGAAAGTGAACTAATTTCACTGGCACAGCTTCCTTCGGTTAATGTATTTATTCAGGCATCCAGCTTCGCAAAACTCTTGGGTTCAGATAGAACAATCTGTGAGGCATTAACGCTTGTGAAATGCTGCCATGAACATTTGGACCAGTAAAGGGCATTGTTTCCTGGGAAGAGATGGGAAGTTCCTCTGCGTTTGAACTGTTTAAACCTTTGCTAAGTGCACCAGTAGCACAATCTCTGTCGGTCTTGCAGCTTCTACCTGTTGGGTCTAATAAGGAGGCTGAAGGTCTTCTCGTGGCATGAGCAAAAGCGGGATCCTAAGGGCTATGGTACACTGGGGAGGAAAGCCAAATCAAATCCAGGGCAAACATAGAGGAAGGGGAAATGTATTTTGTTCTTTTTATCAAAGGCACTGGCAAGATTATCCCTGTTGTATGCAGGAATGAAGCTTGATGACCAAGAGCCTCTTGCCTGATAGGATGCTGGAGTAATTGTGATTCCAATAACTATTTCCATAAAGCTATGGCAAAAGTGCTTCAAGAAAAAGGGGTCCATAGCTTACACTGACACAGGTGCGTACGTACAGCACTAAATTGTGCAGGATTTCAGGGCTTTTAAAACCTTCATGTTCTGGTACTCAAGTGTTTGCTGGGGGGAGAGGGTGTGTATAACTTATATACTTGAATCTACATACCACGTTTACATTTCTCAATTTATGTAAAAGGTGCTATTCCTGTATTTAAAAAGCCGTGTGTGTTTTGTAATGTAAAGCTGCTTTATGTTTATAACATTGCACTGCTTGTTTATTATCTTGATATTAACTTTACAACCGCTTGTGGATTTCCTTCACTGAACAGAAATTACTTCTGTCTTAGGTTCCTTGCTACACTCTGCATATAAAACTATTAAGAACACACACTGTTGTTGGGGGAGCATATTTTTATACTTTCAGTTAGAGAACTAATCTTTATAATATAATAAAAATAAAACCAAAAATTAAGAGGTTGTGTTTTTAATATTTTGAGGGTGGATTATTTAAAAAAAAAAACAGCTGTGTATTGAAGGAGCAAGTTCCACACAGTTAATCCTGAGAGTTACCATATTCCTGAACCATCAGAGAAACAATAAAATGCAAGATAAGAATTTCATGGTTAGAGAGCTCTCCATATAAAATCAAGAAAACGATAAAATCAAGATAAGCCAGCCCTCTGTTGCTCTAATCCAAACTGGCTCCTCACTTTTAAGAAGAAATATCCAAAGATAAGCATTCTACATTTCTGCCTATCCTTAAACATTTACAATAATTGAGTTACTAATCAATCTTCTGGATTCATGAAATCAATTGTTGTAAATGTTTAAGGTAGGAGGACTACCATTTGGCCACTGCAAGGTCTTTAAAATGTTCCCAAAAATATATTTTAAAGGAACACATCAATCAGATCTAGAGAAGAGTATCACTTCACTCTAATCTAATCTAAGGAAATCACTTTCAACTGAGATCAGTTGACATGCACATCTATTGAGCTATTCACTTTTGGGGAGAGCATTGTTACTGCAAGAACTACTGAGAGAGGGCATAAGCTAAGAAAAAAGAAATACATCTAAATTTAGTTTCCGCCAAAATATTCACTGTGATTCTCCAAATCTTTCTACCCTTAAAAACCATCTTTGTCTCCATTGCATTCATACACATCATACATTGCCCTTTGTTCTTTAAACTTCTCCATTCTTTGTCCAAGGTCATTGATTTTTGCCAGTGATAACTTTCTCAGTATTTTCTTCTCAACCGTTCACTTTTTATATTCGTCTTATATTTTGATCCTCATCCATACGACCAAACAATTTCAACATACAAACAAATTTGTTTACACTCCAAGACCAAACTGAAGAAAAAGGCCGACAATACCACAAATACAATAAAGGAAGCAATAATTGCAAGAAAATTCTGAGCTAACAGAATTAACAGCTAACAGTTGATAACCTGAGGGAGGAACCAGGTGGCTTCTAAGAGCTATAATTATTGATAGAAATTTTGCAGCCTCCTTAGAGGTTTCAAAGAGTGCTCATCCAAAAAGAGGGTAATGGCCTCCTGATTACAATGGCAATTAAAATTGTTAACAATTGGAAGTATTAAGTTCAATCACCATTGGTTCTAGCACCGACATTTTAGTAGCACATGTGAAACAAATTCTATCTCCATGTCTAAACAAAAACAAGCATGGTTTTCATACTGGAGACTCGCATATCTACCAGTTTGATTGATTGATTGAATTTATAAGCTGCCAAACTCTAATGCACTCTGGGCAGCATACAAAATTAGAAAAAATAAAAACAGATAAAAACATTAAACCAAATGGACAGTCCAGACTGAAATAATCTTACAGGTAACAAAAATCAGACAAGAGAGGGGCCCAGACAAACAATGATTGCATCAAGCCCAGGCCTGGGACCAAAGCCAGGTTGTTGCCCTAATAGGTAACATCCCAATTCAGGCCACAGTAAATAGTCTCCTCTGAGGGGCAGGACTGAAGAAATGTCTGTGGACAGTCCAGGGAGGAGACGCAATCATGTTATAAAAGAGGTGGGAAATACTGGTTCTATCATTTTGGCTACCTAAATCTCAAATCCTCTGCTTCAATTCAACCAGTTTTATTAAGTCCTGAAGCAGATAACGCTGGCAAGGAAAGCCCACAGTATGCCAAATCATTGAAGGCTTCTCGGTCTTTTGGCTAAGATCAAGTGTAGTATCTCAACCTATTTCTTTTGTACTGGACACTCCATTTTATATTCAAACCATTTTCAGCACCCATTCATTTTCACCAAGGGCTGCCGCAAACCAGTGCACAAGTTGTCCACTGCACAAAGGTGCTATGACATGAGGGGTGCCAAATGACGGGAACAGTAGGAGAAGAACCCCATCCAGTTACTCCTCCACTTGTCTGCACATGCGCTGTAGAAGAAAAGGGAGAATGCCAGGAAGCCACAGCTGCCACATGACATGACTTCACGCTCTGGCAGCAAACAATTTTTTGCACAAAGGCGCCTTGCAGGTCAGCGGCTTTACTCAACACATTTCTTAGGGGTTTTTTTTCCTTTTGTTATTGGTAAGTTACAGCAACTACAACAAAATACACTAGTGATTATACAATAAAAAAAGACATGCAATATTTTGGTTAACATATATATAAAATAATGTGGCCAGAAGCACATTCTCTCTAGCAGCTTTTGCATGTCTTAAAATTTCTTCCAGTTCATGGTCCTCACATCATTCAATCTAACATTTGCTGGAAATTATTCTGATTCTTAATCAGAAACACAGCATTGTCTGCATACAAAAATAGGCATATTAACATCCCCACCCAATATACCTCTAATGCCACCATAAGCATTCCATTTAGCATCCAACTTTCAACTCCATATTCATGTAACGTTCTGTAAATTAAGACGATGTACTTTATCATATATTTTTTGTAAATCATCAAACACAAAATACATTTCATTTCCTCACATTCATATACTTTTAGTGACCCATTGAAGAGCAAAAATCCTGCTCAGCATAAAGTTGCACTGCACTTCCCAAATTTTGCCAATATCTCTTCGTGTACCCTTTAAATCAAAATTATGACAAATACCTTCCCAGGCACATTTAACAAATTAATCCCCGTATAGTTTTTGCATTCACTTTTGCTACCTTGCCTTTTGTGTCAGGAATAACAGTATTCTTCCAACTGTCAAGCACAGAGGCAGTCTTTACCCATCAGTCAGCTGCCCAGCGATGTCCTAAACAAACTACTGTACATCCATAAAGTAACATTTCTCCACTTACACCTCTATGCCTGCTGCTTAATCATTGTTCAATATTCTCACATCATTTTATCTTAGTTGTATCATTTTATAGCATTTGTTTCAATTCCACTCTTCAACATATAACTATAATTCCTGTAGAATTCCAAAAGTAGTGATTCCAGTATGCCCTCACTTCTGTTTCATCTCGGATAATTTCATTCACTCAGCTTTTTTTACCCTCTTCTAATACTTGTTTCTGTTTCCATCAAAATCACTCTGCATTAATTCTCCCTTTTAATCTGAATGGTTCAATGTTCTTTTTGACTATGTTGTTTGCAACTTGCTTTTTATCTATATATGCATTGTACAACATCTTTCTCTCAACTTCAGTTTCTGCAGCAATCCTTTCCCTTTTCCCTTATCTACAGTGCTTTTCGCTTCATAATTCCACCAATCATCCTTTGTTCATAATTCCTATTAGCCCAACTCCTTGAGACTGTGGCACTTTGGAAGATAATTATTTTTACTTTATTCTAAGCAGCTTGTGCGTCCTTCCTCCTTAGGAATATTTTCCACTCATTTATTGGGAGAATAATCTACCCTGTAACACTGCATCATATGGGACTCCTACTCTCTCTTCCTGCAGTTGCTGTACTTCCCCAGTGCTTTCGTTTTGTTTCATTTCTTTTTTCCTTCTCTGTCCTTTTCTTTCCAAGATCCAAACTTGACACAAGCAAAAGATTGTCTGCTACACATTCAGAGTCTATCATTTCCCTTGTTTTCTCTCAGTCAACATAAATCATTTGATTTTTTTTAATTAGTGCCTTTTCCATATGTATATATGAATGAACCTTTTATCAGCTAAGCCTCCTCCTGGCCACAGTTGAATCTGGTTCTTTACAATAGCCGTCCTTTGCTAATTAGATGAAATACATCATATCATACAATCACATGGATTCCTTGCTATAATTCTGCACAACTTGGAAACAAATATTTCAAGCTAAATACAGGTCTTTATCTGAGGCATTATAGACAGAAATCTGGTAAATGTAAAGAGCATAGTTGGTTATATAATAATGCTTTAACAACTTAGTCAAAGAGCATGTATGCATGTATGTATTTCAGTCATATATATATATGAGTGAAATAAATGTTCTTAATATTAAAGAGATTTGTTTCACTCCTTTTTTTTTTTTCACTGAGCCTAAAGTTCTAATTAAATCGGTTAACTTTTGTAAGCTCTTCAGTGCAAAGCCAAAACCACCTAGTGTTTATTGAGACTAAGTTTTTGTTACCAATACAAGAGAATATATGTAGCTCAGGGTTGAACTGTGGAGTCCTTGGGGTTCTCTGGGCTTGGTTGTTTTCTTGCAGACATTTCATTACCCCACTAGGTAACATCTTCAGCAATGGAGGCGAATATGTGTAGCTCAGGGTTGAACTGTGGAGTCCTTGGGGTTCTCTGGGCTTGGTTGTTTTCTTGCAGACATTTCATTACTCCACTAGGTAACATCTTCAGCAATGGAGGCGAATATGTGTATCTCATGGGTGA